GCAACAATGAATGAATGGAATTCCAAAATCTCTGTAGATGTTCACTGAAATGAAAAATAAACAAACTAAATTTAAAAAAAAAAAAAAGACCAACCTGTTGTCTCTGTGCTGTCTCAAGACCTTTGCTTTCCCTTCATGATGTAGGAAAGAATGGCCACTTTATCTGGCCTGGCATGAACACACTGCATCATTTGTCCCCAACTCATTTTCCTAATGACATGCCTTTTTTCCTTAAGAGTCCACTGAGGCATTTTATTTGCACTGTGTCTTACAGCCCTAAAAAAAGAATCCCAGGGTTTGTCCCATGTGTTTTCGTCTTGCGTCCTCGTGGTCCATGATGCCAGCTGAGGTTGTCAGAACACTGAAACCCCACTGATGGGATGGGAGCAGGTGTGGCTGCCACTTTTCTAGGCGTTTGAGTTACACATCAACCCGGGCTAATGACGCCACCCTTGTTTAACCTGCCTGTGAGGTGGACAGCGATTTCCCCTGCTCTGTGATCACCAATGATTTCAAACTCTCCAATTCAGCCATGCTTCTTCATGACTGTTAGGAACCGAACCATGACTTTGGAAGACAGCCTGTTAAGAACCTGGAGCTCGCCTCTCTTCTCGGCATTGTTGAGGCTCTTGAGAGCGTCAGCCAGGACGTTCACGCGCACCATCGTGGAGGCATGGAAATATAGTGAAAAGAGGAAGGGCAGAGCAAGTGCACAGAATTATGAGACGACATTTCTTTCCTTTCTGCTCTTCACTCTCTTCAGACCTCCATCATCAGAGAGGCATGCGTGTGCGCGTGCACACACAGACTCTATTTCCAAGACACATTTTTTCCTCTTGTTTACAGTGGCCTTTTCCATCTCTGTATCTTTCAAAACAAAATCCTGCTCACTTGCTCTGGGAAATCGCTTGGCTCTCCCTAAGTCATTCACTCCTTACACTCACTGCTGTCCAGCTGGAATCAACTCCCAGCTCAATCTCCAGCAGGTTTTGAGAGGCAGCAAACGACACAGGAGGAAACTGGCCAATGTTTTCCCAAAGAGGGGGTAGGTGATTTGAACCACCTGCCTTAGGATTGGCAGTGCTACTCCTTACCGACTAGGCTACTGGAGCTTCTTAGGGTTCTCAAAATGCACTACTAGAGAATCTATTTCTTTGAACCACCTGCCTTTTTTCTACACATGGATGGTGAGCTTTGCCCTGTCTACCATAAGCCTGGCAATGTCCTCCATAAAGGCACTCAATGATGAATGGGCACACAAACTCTTCAGTTCGGTATGTAAACCAGAAACTATTCGTAGCGAGCTCTAGAGGGTAAGGAGTTGCTCTGCTAATTCAAAGGTAGGAGGTTTGAATCCACAGCTGCTCCATGGGAGAAAGAAGGACAATGTCCTCTTGAGTGATTTATAGTTTCTGAAAACCTGCTGAAGTCTCACCTACTCAGGAATATTATCAGGAAGGGCCAGTCCCAGGGGAAAACATCACGCTTGGTAGAGTGGAGGGTCAGTGACAAAGAGTAAGGTGCTCAGTGAGATGGGCTGACACAGCGGGTGTGACAATGGGTCCAAGAACAGCAGTAATTGTGAATGGCACAGGTTTTACACTGTTGTACAGGGGGTTGCTATGAGATGGAGCTCCGACACCTTACAATGTAAGTCTTGCTGCTATCCTCACCTGGTAATGTCATTAAATCTCTAGTCAACTTTGAAATTTAGAAAGAATAAAACCCAACATTCCATGAAGCCCTGAGAACATAAAGCATCCCCACTTTAGCAACTTCTAACCATCTCCAGGGCCCCAAAGTGAGCAGCACTGTGCTTATCTGAATCGAGCTGTAACTGACACTGACCGAGGGAGTCACAGAATCCTCAGGTGATGCTTCTACCCTAATGTTAAATGGGTACCCAACCTGCAACAAGCCCACTAACTTTCTTCTGGATCTGTATCTTCAAGAATCAAATGAGAGTAACAGTCCCCATCTCAGGGACTGTTGGTGCTAAAGGTGATCTGGGGCTGGGGATGTGTTGTGTTGTTGTTTTTAAGAAAATAAAAAGCCTTCCTTGATGATACTGTTCACCTTACAGGTCTACTGTTTGGCTGAAAATTGAGTCACAGGGGTTAGTTTATTTCGAGGTTAGAAGAAGACTAAAAGCCGTATCGTGGATGTTTCTCCAGGCTCTATCAGTAAGCCTGCCTATTTTTATGTTTGAGTTTTGTTCTGTACTTTCACGCACTCTGTCCAGGACTCCTCTTTGGATCCCTTTTCAAGTAGTCAGCTGTGGTAGCCAGGCACCATTTCTTGAGGTGGGGATGTGAAGTGATATTCAGTAATGCTGAATGAATGAGGGAGAAAAGTTGAGTTCTGGGGACTTATGGTAAGAAGCTGCATGGCCAACCTGAAGCAAGTGGTTTGAGTCTACCAGCTGCTCTGCAGGAGATGGACAATCTTCTCCCAGGTGATTTAATGCTGCTAAAACTCCGCTGGAGGGTCAGTATGGATCAGTTCCAACTTGATGGTACTCAACAACAGGAGAAAAGTTAGTATCTCTTCAAATGTGACTGCTTATGAGAGATGCAAATCAGAACCATGATGAGACAGCACCTTACTCCAGTAGCAGTGGCAAAGTTTGACAGAACAGCAAGTAATAAATGTTCGGCAGGCTGTGGCAAGAAGGAACTCTTACGCATTGTTGGTGTGAATGTAAAATGGTACAATCACTCTGGAAGGCAGTTTGGCATTTCCTCAGAAAGCAGAACACAGAAATTCTATATGGCCTAGCTATTCCACTGATTGGAATATACCCCAAGAAAATGAGAACTGAGGAACAAACAGACACTTGTACACCAGTGTTCATAGCACTGTTATTCACCATTGCCAAGAACATGGAAACAGCTCAAATGTCCAACCACAAATGAATGGATTGAGAAATTATGGTACATTTACATGACGGAATACTACACAGCACGTAGGAGCAATGATTTTGTAAATCACTACCTAACTTGGGAGGGACAGGAGAGCATGATGCTAAACGAACTAACTCACTCCCATAAGGACAAATACTATATAAGACCACTATTGTAGAACATGTATGAGGATCCAAGTGGGTGAGGGGGGAAGCAGAGGAGTGAGAATGGGTAGGGGAGGGGTGGGAGGATGGTTAATCATAGGGTCACACAGTTTAATGGGTGGAGGGGGGTGGGTAAAGAAAACGGGAACAATCTGGTTTGAAAAACAATGTACACGAACTTTGTAAGCAAACCAGTATAAAATAAAAATTTTATTTAAATACATTTTTAATAAAATCTGATTGCTTTAAGGAAATTATCTCCATTCACAGTTTGTTTATAAACACTAATATTCCTTTGTAAATACAGCAGTTCTTTGTAGAGTCTTAGAGACACTGAAATCTAGTAAAAATTTATTGCTCTCCTTTAATAATGTTTTGGCACACAAGCAATACTGATATCAAATTGATCTGGGCACATAGCAACCTTCCATTAGGTTTCCAAGAGTGTATATCTTTACAGGAGCAGACTGAGCTCATCATTCTCCCTTAGAGAACGTTGTAGATTTGAATCCCTGACATTTTGGTCATTATAACACACTACTCCACCAGAACTCCATATATACAAATGACAAGTAAGCTGCGCTGCAATCCCGAAGGCGCGTAGTTTGAATCCACCAGGTGCTTCACTGGAGAAGGAGGGTCAATCTCCTCCTGTGCCAGTCGGATCTGACCCAAACCATGCAAGGCATAGTCAACTGCTTCTTATGTACATGAACGCTGAACAGTGAAAAAGGCAGGCCAAAAAGAACTCAACTGTGGTCTTGGCAAAGATTACTGCCATGGAATGCCAAAAAATAAACAAAATCTGTCTTAGAAGTGCACTCAGTGTTGTGCAAAAGCAAAGATCATAAGGCTTCATCTCATCAGGAGGGCCTATTGACTGGAAAAGGATACTATGCTTGGAAAATCAGATGATCAGAGAAAAAAAAATGGAAACCCCGTAATGAGATGTACTGACAATGACTTGAACAAAGTCTGAGAATGATGGAGAGTGTGTGGATGGCGAAGGA